TGAAGGACAAGTAACATGGAAAAAAAGCACAATCCTTAAGAGAAGAAGAAATCCTTAAGATAAGAAGAAACTCAAAACCAGAATAAACAATCATTGACAAAGCTGTTGTGTAGATTCACAAGGGATTATATTGCCCAGTGCATGCATTTTTATACATTTAGTATGCTTACTGAACAGTAAAGACAATGCTAAATTTAAGGAATCAAATAATATGTCATGTGGGTTCTGACACATCTGTCTTTTTAAAAACTGCAATTGGGGAAAACTCATCAGCTTCCTTCTCAAACAAATTTGAAGAGATGCAGCCAAATTATGGAGTCCTCCATACATTTCTCCTTGAAAAGGTTAGATATCTTTCACTGATGGAAATTTCATTGGTGTACAAATTATACTCATATATTAACCTGACTGTTATGTGTGCCCACTTGTTCATGAAATCAGCTTATGGAGCTAACCCCATAGGCCACATCTACAAGAAAGAGCTTTCCATATCAGATCCTTAAACAATACTACAATAATTTTCAATAAATATTTCTCAGCAGCTGGTATGCTAGGACCTCTTCAGAAACTAATTTAAAAAAAAATTAGGCCTCTAGATTGGAACTTACCTGTTGTATTTAGAGGCCAGGTAAGCACAAAAGTTGATTTGAATACATTGCCTGCTTTTATTTTCACCATGACACTCCAATATAATGGTATCAAGGATAAACCCTGCCCTTACATGATGTTCATAGAACTTCACAACAACCAGGAACTTTACCTTTCATCTCAAATTGATATTGAGGGATAGGGTTTGCCATCAGAACTGCTAACTTCAACAGGAGTGTGTGGATGCACCTATACTCAGCATTTCACCCAAACACTGAACAGCACCACAGGATTTTCCCCATGTTCCTGGACAAGAAGGATAAAACAAAGCAACTGTGTCCTGTCAAACAAGGCAGACCTGTCAACCAGAGTGAAAACATGTCAGGCAGCCCTCCAAAATTTTTGTAGATAGAGCATCTTTGTTGTCTGAAGCCATGAACAGGAATGCAGAAGTCTGGGGAGAGCTCCCCAGGCACGCGGCAGCGCAGCCAAGGGGGGCTTTATCCCTTCTGCCCTGGGAGCCTCGGGCTGCCTCTGCCCCTGCTTGTCCTGAGGCTGCTGGGGCAGCTCAGGCAGCCTTGGTGCCCAGGCACATAGCCCAGCAGCAGCACACCTGTGTGCACCCACAGGGGCCATCGCTAGCTGGGTGCCCGCTCACAGCACACGGGAGGCTGGCTCACTACAGGAGAAACAATCATCTAACTTTGGCTCTTTTAAAGGAGCTTCTTGTAATGAAAATGCCAGCTTGCCAAATGCTGTTTCATGTTGAGTTTCTTTTGTTTGGTTTGGTTTTGACTTGGTTTTGTTTTGCTTTCTTTTGTTTTTTGTAGGTTTTTGTGTTTGTTGTGTTTGTTTATTTGTTTTTTATTCCATTTTGTTTGGCTTTGTTTTTGGTTTTTTAAAGACGAAATTTCTAAGTCTTAATCAACCTGCTTTTTTCAGCTTGCCTGACCTTTTCTGCACCCAGAACGCCTAATTTAAAAATTAGAATGAAGTAAGCTTTTACCATGGTTGAAATTTTTATTGTGGCAGGAGGAATCCTGTCCATGTCATCCCTGTCCCTGCAGCTGCCAGACCTCCCTGCTGCCGTGGGAGGGAGCAGCGCTCTTGGCTGTGCTGCCCGAACTGGTAGTGCTTCCCACCAAGTGATTTGGATGCAGTGAGAAAGGTCAGCCCTTGCCTGGGCCTGGTGCAATTCCTGCTGTGCTGCATCTGGCCAGGCAGGGAAAATACTCACTGCCACTCATGTCTCACACCTCTTCCATGTGGCCTCACTGGCTACATCTCCCTGGGCACAGGAGACAGGCCTGGGGACATTTTCTGGCATGGAAACCGTGTGGCACTGGGTGACTTTTATTTTATACTGTCTTATCCCTCTTGTCCTGCCCTCACAGGGGGAATGGCTTTTGATTGTGAGACCTGCTAGCAGGTGGTCGTGGTCCCCAGGCACTGCCAGGGACTCAGAGCCTGGTGGCACAGACAACCACACTCCAAGGACAGGCAGGGGTCCCAGGCTGTTTTTCAGCTCCCTGGCAAAGATGAGCCTTCTGCTGGTGGCCAGCAGCCCTGCCTGATGCTCCCACATCCTGCCTGCCTTGCCTTTTGCCTTTACAGCTGAGATAGAAAAGACACACTTTTAGGACATGTGTTTCTTGATTTGTTTCAGATTTACCTTTGGATGAGTGGGACTGTGCCTTATTTTCCCCCTTGAGTGCAAGGGAAGCACTTTCTGTCATCTGTGCTGGAAATGCTGAAGTGAGGAGAGAGCCACACACCTCCTGGGCACCTTCTCACTTCAGCATGTCCACCCAGGATCAGGAGTATGGGCACAGCCTCTGCAGTGGGACACCGAGCATCTGCCAGCATCCTCCCCCATCCCTCCTGTGAAAGCACCAGGTTCCAGGGCAGGACAAAGGAGCCATTTGTGGGTAGGAGTCAGATACAATGGAGTCAGATACAATGGAGGGACCGAGCAACATTACCAAAAAACCTGAGGGCAGCAGCCAGTAGAGCTGGTGTTGTGAGGGGCAGCAAGGGGGGTGCTTTCCCACTTATCCTGTAGGGGAAGGTGAGCAGACAGGGACTAAAAGGGTGGATGTGCTCCATGGCAGTCCCTCATCGTCACCACCAGCAGTGAAGCAGTTAAGATGTGGAGAGCCCTTTCTTTTTCCCTACATCTCAAAATAGCACAAGGCAGCCTTTGAGCACGGGCAGTGATGTGCTGACATTTGTCCCTTGGAAACATCCCCTCCACCAGCCCTTCTGCTCAGTCCATGGGGCAGGAAGAGCCACCCCCTTGGAGATGGAGCCCGGAAAGCCTCTCGAGGAACGGGACACTTCCTCAGGGCTGACCTGCTAAAAATAGCCTGGTAGGGATGAATGCTTGTGTGAAACAGCCTGCAACCCAGCGTGATGTTGTACATGCTGGAATCTCTGTAGGCTGGAATCTCTATAGGCTGGAATCTCTTTAGGCTAGAACGACGTGTAATGTGAAGGAGGCAAGGAGGAAAGGAGAAGCCAGTTGTCCAATTTCTGCTTCTCATTAGGGGTCTCTGATAGTGAGGGGAGTGGGGAAAATGTCTCCAGGGTATGAACCAGGGCAGGGCACAGCCTTGGGGACCCAGCTGGCCCTCTTGGGATAGCTGACTTTTGGGGTTACTCAGTTCTCAGCTTCAGTTTTTGCAGAATCCCAGGGCAAATTGCTCTGTTGCAAGATTCTATTAACCCTTTCAACAGATAGCATTTTTATTAACCATTATTTGTTAACCTTTTCTGGTAGTGAAACCATATCTTTAGTCAGTAGGAAAATATCACAGCTCTCTGGCAAAGAGGCAGGCTGAGCTCCTGGAAGCTGCCAGATGTTCATTTTTCTCTCCCCCCTCCTAAAATATCAAAATTTTAATTTACTCAGATGACTGAGCAGTTGACTAAACACACATTCAATATAAAATTCATAGTAAGAAAAGAGACACTTGGGATAATTTTGATTGATTTACTTGGCAGAGTTTTGATAGCTACTGAAAAACATACTATTCATGTTTAGGTGAAAAATAAATGGAGTCAAATAAGTGTCACTGCATAGTACTAGGAGGTATATACAGCCACATGTAAAAATGTATAAACACAAACATTTCTGTACAGCAACTTTTCAGTCTGTATAGAGAAACACTGGTTTATAATATGGGGAAAATATAAAGCAGACATACATGCAACAAGGACATGACAGTTACATAGGTCCCACCTGCCTCCCAACAGCTGAAATAACAATAACAACAATAATTATAATAATAAAAGCCTTTTTCAGGGAAAAAATTTGAAACCTGGAATGTTTACATGTTGAGGTTTCCAGAGAGCTCCAGATGCGAAACATATCTGAAGGTGATTTAAAGGCTTGATTCAAAGCCCTGTGAAGGCAATGGAAAAACTCCATTGGTTTCAGTGAGCTTGGGGTCAGACCCAGCTATTTAACCATGATCCCATTCTGCCCTCCCCTAAAACCCAAAGTTGAAATCTGCAGATAAAAATAAACAATCATATCATACAAAACTTTGTATATAGAATACAAAAGGTAACAGTTGACTTTTTGTATAAAATACAACTTTTTGATAGTATATTTATTTCACATATGTATAAATATAACCCAAATAATATGATTTTTATTATTCCTACCAAAATATTATTACTTTTTGTTGTTGTTTTTACAAAAGTTTACAAAACAAATAATTCTTTATATTTACAACCCAATACTGTGAAGAGTGCCCAGTCAATGATGAAAAATAGATTTTAAGGGTAGTGCACTTAGCCATTGCAAAGAAAGAAAAAAAAAGACACTAGCTCCATTCAGATGCAAGTGTTCTGAAGAAATGATACTGGATTCAAGTTTTAGTTGCAAGAGTCTTTCACAAGCTCTCATTTCAAATGCATCAGGTATACATATACAGGACAGGAAATGGCCTCTACCTTTTTTGAATTTACTTAAGACAGGATGTAATTTTGCTCCCAGGGATGGCACTCACAGCCCATGTGAGTGTTGGCCTCAGTCTTTTGCACTCCAGGCTGAGGCCAACAGGACAACACTCAGCATTGAATCCACCACATCATAGAACCATGGAATCACAGAATATCCTGAGTTGGAAGGGACCCACGAGAATCACTGAGTCCGACTCCTGACTCATTGGGACCAGCTCCTCAGCTGAACAATTTTTTTTTGCATTATTTGAAGACCTTGAAATCAGTCTGGCCCTAATACAGAAACCAGTGGTGGCTTTTTCAATGGCATGTGAGGGTAGTTGAAGTTACCAGACTACAGTGCCCATTGCTCGTGGTGATGCTAACTCAGCCTTGGCCTCAGTGGCATCCATGGCAGCTGTCTGTCCCTCCCAGTGTGCTGGCAGTCACTGCCAGCAGTGAGGCAGAGAAGCCAATCTTCCTTTCACTTCAAACTTGTGCAGCTGCTGCTTCAGTCTAGTTTTGCACGATTTACACGGGACACATTTGTTGTATTGGATCTGTATCTCTCCAAGCTTAGGTGGGACCCCAGTGGCCTGAGCTCAAAAGCTTTTCAAAGGTTTGGAAAAACTGGTACTGACATATCACACATGCACCTCGACCAAACCTGGGGAGAAGAGGGAGCTTTCTGGGCAGCTGAGTCACCACAATGTTACACAAGGCAGAGCTGTGCAGTGATCACTGGCTGGGCTGGCAGAAGGGACTCTTCAGCAGGCTTTCTTGTCCCTCTTATTTCTCTGGGAATGAACAGCCTCTACTGGCATATCTAACTCAATGCCCATGTTACACCTTTTGTGGAGGTGCTGGTGCTCATTTGTGTGACGATGCTTCTTGAAACATCCTGAAAAATTGTGCCCATTTGAAATGACAGGGTGAAATAACTGGAAAAGCCTGATTAAAACCTCTCACAAGAAGTAGGTCAGATAAGTGCAGAGGCTATTGTCAAATAGTCTACTCACCCCACTGCCACTAACAAGGATGAATAAAGCACTTGCACGCGCTGAGCAATGCCTCTTGGCACCAAGGCATGGGAACGTAGGCATTGTATTCCTTTGCCACATCTAGTTGTAGCTAATTCGGAGGAGGCTGTGAAACACATTGCACCCCATCATTTGAAAGAACAGCACTTTCATTTGAATTGCAAGATCTGTTCCTATCTATGAATCCTGCCTGAATCACTGTGCAGTGGCTTTATAGTGACATAGCATATCCTTCTGATGCCATTACTGACCAAGCCTATAGCAAAGAATTTAATATTGTCAAGACTATTCCCTGGCAGGTGTAGGACAGCCTGTATCCTTACTGCTGTGCTCTGTTAGCCTTCAAGGAAGGTGACTGCAAACTGCTCATGGGAATGGTCCTTGCCCCAGTATATCTTCTTTCTATGCACGAAACTGCTCAGGACAAAATTAGCTGGTCCATCCCCAAAACCAGAACAGATGATTGAGTCCAGTGCCCAGAAATAATCCCCAGAACTGTTTCATGTACAAGCACAGATATGGCTGATGGAGGCTCCTGCTGTGAGTTATAATTGATGTGCATGCTAGTTTCAGGGGCAGAGCCTCCTGTACTCCAGACAAAGGCTGGGGACCTGGGCCATCAGCAGGACTCTTTCAACTCCCCCTCATATGGCGAAGGAGAAAACAGGATGGAACCAAAATGCTGTGCAATCAAAATGGCAGCTTCCCCCCAGGCAGGTAGATGATGGCATTTCACCTGGGCTAAACCTGTTTGAGAGAAGAAGATCAGGCTGAACTACCTGACGGATATTCGCCATGATTTGAGATGAAAAACAAGGACAGTGGCTTAGCTGAGCCACTTTAGGTATCTGGCCTCCTCTAAGCTGGACTGGGAGAGTAGTCAGGGACAAATCATGAGCACCCTTCTCACTCAAGTTTCTATTAAGTCACTGGAGTCCCTGGGGAAGGGCAAGGTGGCAAAGTGAGGATCCTGAGCTTTGGAAGTAGTTCCCTCATGTTTCCCTCAGTGCCCAGAATGACTGTGCTGCTGGCAGAACAGCAGCATCCTCTAATACTCACTGCAAACACTGATGAAAGGGAGAACACAAATGCTAGAGCACACCGAATAGCACGCTGGATGATCTGTGTCCTTCCTCCCTTGGATGAGACCACTTACCCTGCTGTGTGCTACAAAAGGTTTATAACAAAATCATTGGGAAAGCAAATGTAGGTTTGTACTGTGCAGAAGTAAACAGTTTTTGTAATGCCATGAGATTTACACAGGGCTTGATGCTGTCAGGGCTAAGCAGTCCCAAGGAAGTAAATGGCTGTGAACAAGATGACTGAAGAGCTGTGGACCACTTGGGGTCTTACTTGCACTCAGAGAAATGATGTTGCACAGCCTATACCACTGACTGGTGCTTCCATGTGTGGGAAGCTGCATGTGTTTTTTTCCTGGAGCCCTCTGAGAAGAACCAATGAGTTTGCAATGGGCTGGGCACAGGTCTGGGGAACAGACCCTCCACGTGTTTTCACTTCTTTGTGGCAGGCAGGAATATCACTTAGACTGTCACTTCAGTTTTGTTCCTAGAGCTAGTCTTCAAACAGGGCAATTGCTCTATGTTGTATTTTAAAGGACAGCCCAGTTACTGGAGTGTAAATTAATGAAGCAGGTTGTTGGCATCTAAAGAGAAAGCTAATGTCCTTGCTGCCTCTTCATCTGGTTCCCTCTTGGTACTGTCACTTATGAGTGGTTCCCTAAAATTTCATCGAGGTTGATGTCTTTCATCCAGTCATCATTACCAGGTTCTGTTTTCAGTAAAGAATCTATAAAATCCGAGTCACTGTTGAGCGCAGGTCCTATAGTGTCCCCTTGCTGGTTCAGAAAGTCAAACGCTAGGTCACTGCCATGCTCACTTCCTTGGTAAGCCCGGGAGGTTTGGTTGGTGCTTGTGAAACCGGTTGATGGCAGAGATGACGGCGGTGTCATACTTGTTCCTGGCTGATTCAAGGCAGGCACAGTCTGTCCTCTCAGCTGATTGGGTCTTATGCTGAGCCCTCTTAGCGAGCCAGTAGATTGTCCATTTAGAGTCTGGTGCATTTGGTTCAGAGGGGGCCTCATTTGGACTCCCGCCGGTAACTGGTTAGGAGGTGCCAATGCACGCTGAGGAAAATGCTGGTTGCCTACGCTGCGCTGCAAAGACTGGTTAGGATATGGAGTGCCCGTGGGGAAACGCACCCCTGCAGGCTTCAGTGCATCCTGCTGCTTCACTGCAGCCTCTTGCGGGGCCCAGTTCTGGGCATTGGCAGTGGCTGTGATCATCACATTGGCCGGCCGTTGAGCAGGGATAGCCGTCGCTCCATGGGTCAAGCCTGGCCTTATTTGCTGAGAGCTGACCACTGACCCCGTCCCAAAAGCTGCCCCATTGTTCCCCTGGGTCAAGGTTTGCTGTCGGGACACCATGGGGTTATTCTGACTGGGCAGAACTTGATTTTGGTTTCTGTGTGGCTGCATTTGGTTCATTCCTGAAGTCACATTGTACGTGCTTGGTTGGTTGCAAGGAAGGTTCCCGTAGCAGCCCAAACTCCGAGCAGCAGGAACAGAAGGCATTCGGGTTCCAGCAGGGGTGGACATGAGGCTGGAGCTCTGGGGCATGATGCTGTGAGTTGAAATTGGGTTGGATAAGGACATGTTGTTGGAGCTCATGCTCACAGCTGGTGAACTACCTGGAAAGAAGAAAACAGAAGTGTTACAACAAGCGTGGGTGCATCAATATGTGGTGTCATTCAAATACCAACAGCTCAAAAATCCAGTTTTCTATGAGCAGAGTTTCTTGAAGAAGACACTTGCTCTTAAGAGGACTTACATGAACTTGCTCAAGGCCTTGAAGATGCCTATCATCCAAAGGGTGGTTTGGTCTGTACTAAGCCACCTGTGGTTTTTACATCCCTTCAGAGGAGAGCACATGAGCCAAAACTGATGCTCATTGTAAGAGAAATATTGGAGCAGGGAAGGACAAATGGAACCACTGGGCAGGAGAGAAGACTTTCCTGCCTTCCTTTACAGAAGTACTAGACACATCAGACAGGACAAAGCCTCTTTAAGTGATCAGAGATCAAGAACTTTTCCTTACAGGGCATGGCTTATCCTGGGTCCCTCTAGAGACAATGGGGAGTGAGAGGCACTTTAATCAGGCTTCTTTTCCACCTTTCTTAGACAGCTACAGCAGCAGTATCCATCCTTTGATTGGGAATGTCTGTCCCAGATGACAGCAGGAGCCAAGAGTGCATCTCCCACATTTGCAGCCATATGCTGGGGCAGGAGCTCAGTCCAGTCTGTGCCTTGCCTGTGCTCTCACGTGGTGGCTGAGCAGGCATGGGGACATGACCCAGTGCTGTGCCTGGTGAGCCCCACACGTGCCCTTTCTAAACTCTCTTCCCAGCTGGGCTATGGCTATTTGCCCCTGCACAAACAGACTTGCCAGTGAGGGAGCCACACATGATGTGCCAGCGCTTGCTGCACCCGAACATCCCCTTTTGTGCATCAGAAAACTACAAGTTATGAGTTGGCAGGAATTTATCACTCCTGGCTGATTCTGCCCAATGGAGGGTTTTCCTGTACTTAACTTCCTTCCAATGGATGACAAGAAGAGAGGATTTTGTTGCCTTCAGCCACCAAACCTCGACACAAGCTCACTTCTTTGGCTACATTACCGTAGTTTGAGGCCACAGTAGGTGATTTATGCCATGAAGGCTGAGTGCTTATGCAGTGCAAGATTGAATTAATCCCTGAGAGACTGGTTGAAAAAGACCAACCACTTTTTAAACCACTCAGCCAGTGTAGATGGCACTGCGGAGAACCCTCTCTGCACACAATCAGCTGCTCCACATTGTAATCCCCTTTGCTACTGTTGCTTCCAGTACAAACCCTACAAGAAGCACAGCTCAAAGAAGTCAGGCTCAAGGCAAATGAAAGGAGATGCTTCTTCACACAATGTGTGGGTCAGCCGAGGAAATCTGTGCCACATGGCACAGTACAAGCAAAATTCTCACACCTCTTTGGGTGGCCCCCAAAGTGTGAGAAAAGCTGTCAAATGAGCTTGCTACCAAGGTACCTCTGCATTTCAGGAATTCTCTGAGCCTTTCCCAGAGGAGGAATGAGGAGATTTGCTATTTCATAGGGTGCAACTAATAGCAATTTTTGGGCATGACACATTGCCTTGGCTTGATTCTTTGTACATTGGCAAAACCGGATGGAATTTGACTAACTTCAGCTTCATTACCAAATCTTATTATATATTGGTCTGTGTTACTAATTTTATTAGTTGGTCCATCATAAATTCCTTCCAACTACACAGTGCTTCGAGACTGTGTCATGCCTGCAGCACTCTCCAGATACTTCAGTCTCAGTGTGGCATGCTTTTCCAGTCCCTTGGTCCTTTGGAAGTCCCTTCAGAATGTGGCAGTTTTTGATGTTGATTTCAGAGCTGTACATCATAGCTGGTCACAGCAATAACTTTTGCACACCTCCAATGTAAAGTAAGCTCTATTTTTCCAGTTCAGCATCATCTGGGACAATGTTTGCCTATCCAGTTTCAATCACCTGCCCACGGTGATATCTGGACACCTGTCAGCCATTTCCTTTTGAGGTATGCTAATTTTCCGCCACTCAGGTTTCTTAACCAAAATAGGCAGTAAGAAGTCAGATGCTTTAAGGGACGTAACCTGAACAACTATTGCCTTTAAGTTGTGGTTTCATTGAAAGAGATACCATGCAAGTTTGAAAAGATTCTTCTAACATCAGCCCACGTTGCTTGAAATTAATTAAATCTTCCCCTTCCTTAATTCTTTATTATTTGGGCTGTATCTGCTCCCCAGTAGTTTTGCTGAACTCTGCTTTAGGCTACTAGGGCTGGAATTGCCTACTTAGGCTTTTAATTTTGATCATGGCATTAGCAGTCTCCCTTGGTGTTTCAAGACTAAATAAAAGGTGACACTAAGAATTTGGAGAATCTCTCAGCCAGCTCTTTTAAAACTCTTTTAGACAAATCATTGGCATACATATTTAAAAAGTCTATGTTTAGGAACAGCTATTTAATATGCTGTTGCTGTTGAAATTTTACCATAATGATGTTCAGCTCCCACAGTCTGGAACCAAAGAAAAAATTGTATATTTCTGCTTTTTCTGCATTATTTTTATACATATGCTATTTCCATTTAGTAATGGATGTAAAGGATTTATTTCTTTCCTTAAGGACTTAAAAAATAACTCTTCTCAAATCATTATTAACACTGAGTGTGACTCCACAACCAGAGTGCTTGTTTCAAATCAAGTGCTTGTTTCAAATCAATATAGACATAGATACCTAAATTAAGAAGCTTCCCCTAGCTTGGAAGGCAGCCTCTTCCACAAACAGGCTCCAAGTGGGACTGTAGAGGATCTAATTATCCTAAGAATTCTGTTGTCCTAACTTAAGCACCTAAATTCAGTCCCTGAGCTGGGCAGCCCCTGGGACAGGATATGCTATGGGGAATCCACCTGCTTTTAGCCCAACAGGGATGATCACATTCCCACAATCTGTGCTCAGCTGGCAACCACATAATTAGCCCCATCTTTGGCTTTGCTGGTGGGCTGTGCATTTTTGGAACTACTATAACATCTCCTACAAAGACAGGCTGAGAGAGGTGGGGTTGTTAAGGTGGGAGAAGAGAAGGTTCTGAGGTGATCTAGTACTTTCCAGTACCTGAAGGTGGCTACAAGAGGGAGAGAGAGGGACTTTTTACAAGGATATGCAGTGACAGGACAAGGGGGAATGACTTTAAATTGAGACAGGATAGGTTTAGATTAGACATAGGGAAGAAATTTACTCGGGGGTGGTGAAACACTGGACTAGTGAAAGGGTTGTGAATGTCCCATCCCTGAAAGTATGCAAGGCCAGGCTGGATGGGGCTCTGACTAACCTGGTCTAGTGAAGGTTTGGAACTAGATGATCTTTAAAGTCCCTTCCAACCCAAACCTTTCTGTGATTCTGTGATTTTTTTTTTGCAGGGATGATAGGGATGGGTCCCTGATTTTTTGCTCCTGTGAGCCCATAATAAAGAGAGAATTCAGTGGCATTTCAAGAGATGGTTCTCTCCCTCCAGCTGAACTACAAGTTTGTACAGTCACTTCATTGCCACTGGGATGAAGTCCCTCATGGGGTGACCCTGCCAGCTGTTGAGCAGACCTCAGGGCTACCATCACACTGCTCCTGCAAATGCTACACTTTTTGAAGAACACAAGTGTTTGGGAAGGGGTTGTACTTGTTGCCAAAAGACAAAGCTTCCTCTTTCTTTGTTTTGCTATTTTTATGCTTTTATTTTTAACACAAGTATTTTCCATTCTTATTTCTTCCAGATGGGAAGAAATGCCTTCCCCAGAAGGACTCTGTACAGCAGCTGGGCACCCCAGGCTACAGCAATTCAGAGAAACAGCTTCCCTACCCAATTCACCTGCTCCTTTCTTGGGGGTCTCTTGCCATGGCATGGCACTGTGGGGAAAAGTATAGAGAAATAAAATACTCAACCAAGTTTCTCCAGCTTGTGCAATTTTATTTAGCTTTTTGTTTCTTCTTCCCTGATCTGAGCAAAGCTATTCCCAGAAAAAGGAAACAGTTTCCCTACTGTTATTCCCTTATGCAAGATTTTCCTAATTGCTGCCTCTGGTAGCTTTGCTGGAAGCTCCCAGCACAGCCCTGCTGTCCTCCCAGGGCTCACTCAGCAGGGATTTGGGATTTGAATGGACAAGTGCTGCCATTCCCACATGTCTCACACCGAGGAGATGTGACTCCAAATACCACAAGACTGGCAGAGAGTCCATCAGATTAACAACAACAAGAGCTGCCACATAACAATGGTGATCTACTCACTTTGGAGCCTTTCACACATGTGGCTGCACTCGCTTCCATTTTCTGTCTCAGGCTAGACATGGATTGTTTTTAAGTAAAAGCCAAGAGTCTCAGTTAATCATTTGGTTCCAGGAACAAACCTTTAAACAACACACCAAATCACAAGATTCCTCAGCAAAATGCTGGCTTGCCAAAGCGTTTATTTTGGGAGTACAGGAGGTACCAAGCCAGCGAGCAGGGCCCTCACCATGGGATATTACACTGGGATGCTTGAGTCACTTTACTGGAGAAGATTAAGGCCCAGGCCCATTAGAAAGCAGCAGTTCTCAGCAGCAGTTTCCAGGCTGCAGCAAGGTTATCACTGCTGGAACTTGTAAACAGAGCACAGGAGTGCATGAATGCTGCTTGAGCAGCCCAACCTGGCCCATCCCTACATAGCCAGCAGATGGGGCAGAGGGGTGGCATGTGAGTAAGCTGCACTTCAGAGCTCATTAAAATTGTAATAGAAGCAGAAAATATGTTGCATACAAAAATATACTAGAAGGCAAAGAATTCTTTTTATACTTATATGCACAGACACTTTTCCAGTATAGAAAACATCCTTTGGTCCCATCTGCTGCATTTCCTCCACCTCCTCTCCCCTCAGCATTTTTTCCTTACTCTGCCTTTACTCTGAGTGGCCTTCAGCTAATCAGCAAGGCGAAGAGTATGAAAAGCCAAACAAACAATCCTGTGCTCCAACAACTAGACTCTCCCAGGAGGTCAGGGCACAAGAGTTGAAACAAAGGACTAGTCCTGAAGTGTTGGGCATTTCCTGCCCTGGGCAGCTCTGGCAGAAAACAAGGTCTTTTACTCTACTGTTTGACTGATCTGTTGAAATGCTGCATGTAGAGCAGCTCTAAGGCCATGACTATGACCTATTAAACACACTAAAAGTACCATCCATGATGGTGCTGTGTGGGGTACTTAAAAACCTGTGTGAGGTTCCTCACACTGTACATGAACTGCCATTTGAAGGGAGGGATGGTTCTCATCTCAGTCTCTGAACCAAGGTGCACCACCTTGTGATGAGACTGAGACCATATGTGAGAGAAGCACCTGAGCACAGTGAGTTTGAATAGCCAAGAGGACATCTCTGCATCAGGTATGTGGGCGCACATCTGCCCCAGACAGTGCCAATGGGACGGGTACCAACTCCTCCTTCCCCATGTCTGAGAGGCAGTATCAACCTGGATGAAGCACCAGATCATACACCAGCACTTCTCAGTGGTGCAGGACAGTGAGGTAGATAGCACAGGAGGGCACAGCCACCACCCACTGCCTCTGCAGTGATCGAAGCAGATATCCAGAAAGTCATGCCCCAGTCATCCCATGCATGTATGTCTCTTATGGGTGGTCTTCCAGCTGGAAGGAAGGAAGAAAGGAAGGGGTTGCTTTGAGCCCATGGGTACTTACCAGGATACTGGTTTGCTTGTTGCATGTTGACCACATTCCTTCTTTGGTCTTTATAATCTGGTGGTGGTCTTGTCAAGTGTCTGTTCAGCTGGTCTTGTGGAGTTATTTTCTCCTAGAGGAATAGAGTAGAAATACATTAATTTGCTTTTCTTTATGCTTTCCTGGCTCTGTGTTTTGCCAATCTCTTTCTTTTCTCAGTTATGTAAAAGCTGAAGTATTCCTTCCTTTCACTCTGTCTGGTCACTGGTCACACTGGTGAAGTATTCCTTCCTTTCACTCTGGTGGCACTTGTGAAACAGTGCCATCACCTACTGAAGTCTATATGGAAATCTTTTTGATGGTTGCATTGTGTTTGAGCCTGGTTCAACTTTCCTCTCAGCCTCTGAGAACAATGTCCATGTCTCCACTGAAGTACAAAGCGTATTTCTATTTCAGCTTGTCAAACCCATCCACAGCCATGCCCTCCCTCACTCTGTCATCCTACACTGTAGGAGTGACCACAAAACCCAGTAAAATCCTTGCTTTTTCTCTCCCCAACTCTCCTTACTAGGGATACCAGAAGTGGGGATATACACCTGGTTTAGGACAAGGACAAGGATGGTGCTGGGCTGGCTGTTTTCATGCCACTCAGCACTGCCCTGTGCTTCCCTGCATGAGTTGCTGTCTTTCCTCCTACATTGGGAGTACAAGAATTGGGGCAGGGACAGCAAGGAAAGATTGCAGGAAAAAAATATTAGCTGGGGAGATTTTATTTTGTTTTTTGAGCTTGCAGGGACATGTCTCTGGTGAGAGAGCCAAGTCCTTGAACTGAAATCTGACTAACTGCCCTGTGCTCATAAAGATCTGGAAAGAGCAGGCACCAGAGTCAATGCCAAATCTCTCATCAGCATCAGTGTGATTTGATGCTTCCAGAGTGCTCCTGCTCACCCATGAGACATGGTTCCTTGGGATATGTGCCCCATGGCAGGAAATTGTGAGTTTGGTGCACATGTGCCTTTACTGGACAGCTGCTGGGACAGCATCACACCTCTTGTGCAATGTGCACAGGTTTTGTGCTCAGCTGCCAGAATGGCAAATCAGCTTGTCAGTGTGAAAGAGTCAGGCCCTGGCTGATGATGCAAGTCCATCAGAGTAATTTGGGGATAATCTGACTGAAAACAGCATGCATATGGACCTTCTATTGGAAAAATTCTATTTTCTTCTCCCAGGAGCACTTAAAAAGACTGGGAGAAGAGCCCTTCTTGTGTTATTTAGAGCATTTCCACAATTCATGATGGGAGGGAGGGGTCTGATTAAGATTTGTAAGGTTTGTTTTTATATCCTGCTCAACCTGAATCCTTGTGAATAAGACAGACTCCCATGAAATCCCTGCAATTCATGTAAAAACTGTTTTCTATGTACACAAAACAAAAGCAAAGCCAAGCTGATTAAATTTCCATTTTATTTAAGATAAGCTATTTGAACAATTAAGTATTCGCTCTGCTAAAAATTCTGATAGAAAACTGCAGCACAGAGAGCTGATTTTGAACTTCTTTTTTCTTCTGCATGAATTGAAAAGTCAAGAAATATTTCCTTTATAGAATCCCCCATGTCTCCTAAAATGACCAGAAACTCCCAGCCAGTCTCTCAGATACCAAAGGACAGAGAAGTAGCTACAGATACATAGAAATGCAAAAATAAAACCAGAGAAAGCAGGAGCCATACACAATCCCAGCGAAGCGCACAAACTTGTGTTGAACCCCAAAATCAAGGTACGTGATCCTTGTTCACACACAGGCATTTTACACTGTGCTGCTTGGGTGACAGCTCCTGGAAGTAAACTTTCCTCTGAGGTGGAAGTAGCATGGCAGTGTACCTTGGCTTATCTTGCAAAGAAAACCACTGACAGTATTCATATGTCTCAAAACCAAGCGTATGCTTGGATTGTTCTTGTAATGAAACTGCAGTAGCTTGGAAAATTGTTTCATATAGATTGAAGAAGGTTTCAAAAAGGCTTAGAAAAGTGCTGAAAAATGCAAGGTGCACTCTTGACAATCTAGGCACTGCCAAAACTACCTTGGAGTTTTAGGGGGCTTTCTTCTCCCTGTCTTAGCTTTCTTTTCTATTGTTTTTATGACAATATTTTCCACGTAAAATAAGAAATTAGTAAACTTACAGCTTCTGCCAACATCTGCTGCTGTAGAAGGAGTTGTTTTTGCTCCATCATTTGCCGTTGCAGAGCCTGTTTCTTTTCCATCAGCTGCTGATTCAACAATGATTGCTGGGATGAGTTCATGTAACCACTTCCAGTGTTTGGATTTGAGCAAGAGCTGGAGCTTGGAGTGGGGCCAGCTCCCTGGCCTACCACAGAGTGTTGTTCCTGAAACAGAAGAAAAAGCTCGTGAAGGATGAAAATAATAACAAGCATCAAGAAAAGGAAATAATCCTTTTTATGTAATTTGCTGAAACTCAGGACACAGCCCACAGACTCTCAGGACAAGTGACCGATACAAAGGCTATGACAAAGTAAGAAGAGGATTGAGTAACTTCATCCCTCAGGAAAGACTCTGAAAAATGTGGCAGGTTGTTCCAGTGGAAAGTCTCAATATTGTACCAGGAGCTTGGGAAATATTAACAGAAGTAACAGAGCTGTCCTGGGGATCTCTCAGGAAACGTGCATCAGGCTGTACAGCAGTTTGTTTGACCACAAGGGAACAAACTCAGTGTCTGCTGGTTCCTACCATCTGGTGAACAGCAGTGAGAAGCTGCAGACTTATTGGTAGAAGTGGCATCTATTCTTGGAAAATACAGAGGTGGGAAGTTAATACTTCACAGTGGGGGGAATGGTGCTGCTTTCATTTGTCCCATCATCTCCCTGACAAGAGCAGTCTCTGAGAGACTGCTAATTGAATCCCATTAGCACCACGATTAAATAGGCTTAGAGTGTATCAACTTCCTCAGTAAAATAAATGTGTAACTGGAAAGGACCTTGAAGAGTCTCTCTGGTCTTTGTGAGGGACCTAGATCTGCTTCCTGTTCCCAGTGTGCAGCTCCATAATGAAGGGATGGCAAAAAGTCATCTTCGAGGGCAGTGGAGAAGGAACATGAGGACTCAAACCATGTTCATACAAGATGAGAATGTACATGGGATGACAGTATGCTGCTCCTTTTCTCTTGGCCATTATTTCCCTTGGCAGCAATGCGTTTTTTGCCTACTTGCTCCAGCAGTGTTTGGTAATTGAGCCTTTGCCAAATGCAGCTTTCTCAGTACACACACAAAAATACTTAGCCTATGCACAGCTACAAAGAAAATGGGATACACTGAAGAGGTCACAACAGTCAGGAGACACATCCATTCTCTGACCCCACTTGACTGCAATTCACCATAAGAACCAACCACATAACTCTGTATAACCTAAGAGGCAGCAGCATTTTTGCCTTGCAGCACCAGACCCCACAGCAGGAGTCTGATGCTCCCTGTTGTGCAGGGAGGCGTACACTCTCTCGAGTGGCCAGGATCCGGGCTGCTGTCCTAGTAAAGCTCTGTTCCATGGCCATTGTCCCCTGCGGCATTTAGGCAAACATGGGCTGACATTGAAACAAGGATTGGTCATATGTAGCCTACCCATGCCCTGACGACCACGGAGCACTGATGTTTAGCACTTTGTAAACTCCAGGAAAGCTCATTCCTGCGCCTTAGCTTTTGCATCCCTCCCCTCCCCAGTAACACACTCCGTACAGACTAATCCCACTTATCTTTCTACCATCTGGTATGGAAGAAGCACAATGATTGTATGGGTATTTCTATTTTAAAATAACTCCCTGGCTTCTAGATGGGGCCACATGAGTGTGTAGCTAGTTAGATAAAGTATTTGAAGACTGTTACTGAAATAAAAACCTTGACTTTGTTCTGGAGCCACCTGCAGCCCCCAAGGCAGTGTTACAAACCCACCCTTCAAATTTATTGGGCTCTTACACAATTATATCCTGCACACTTTCTTTCAGTTCCAGAAGGAATCTAGGATTGCTCGGCAGTGCCACATTTTTCAGCCCTTATGTTAGCTGCAAGATAGAAAATACCTCCTCTCAACAGACCTGCTTGCCAAGTTGTTGCGCAAACTTTTTTGTCTTTCCTAAAATATTTTGAAAAGAAAAATATGTTACAATAAATTGGCTTTGACTTCTATATTCAAATGACAACTCTAGCTTGAACCCAGCCACATGTTCCATCCATTAATAGAATTCATCTGTTGTGCTTTTGCACAGATAGTGCAGGCTCCCCCGAATGTGCTTTCAGTCCTACGTAAAAAACCAACAAAGCCTAAGTTTTTCTTTCCCTCATTCCCTACCAACCCATATAAGCAGTGGGGGGGATTTTTTCTTAAGATAAACTGTGTAGTGTTCATTCACAGTATCTATCAAAGAAAGCTCTTCTGTAATAGCCATTGGCACAAAGCACCAGCTGCTTGGCAAACAGACCCTGAGAAAACAGTGTAAATCATAAACTTGGAGCCAGGTTGGGGGATTTTGCATTTGGTCCTTTCTCTGCTGTTCATGAAATGTCAGTGTGAGCCTATGAATCTACGATGTGTTACTTCTCCTGCCTGCTGATCTTCCCCTTGCAATGGGAGAAGGAAGAACAGTTTCCTAATAAATCAGGAGACTAGCTGCACAGCAGTTTGACCCTTCATGAACCAGTGCTATCGAGCCCTGCTCTCACCCTGTGCTTCCATCACTGCAAATCAGACAGCAGAAGGGCTACACTGCTGTCAGGGACGTGGGGCTCTGCCCCTGCGCAGGACAGTGTGTCTTCTGACATCCCTGAGAGGAAGGGCAGGTTTGGCTGGAGTTAATCTGCTTCTGCAAAACTGATTCATCCTGCTCTAAGCCTGGCTTTACTGCAGCAGCTTTACTACAACCCCACACATCTAGAACTGCTGTTTTTTAATGTCATTCCTGGGTTCCCATGCTGCAGTTGATGTGGTTTAGCTTTAGAAAGCCCTGACCAAAGAAAATCTGGAGTGGGACATGCCTGTCCCCTTGCCCAGGGGCACCTCTACTCAGCAGGCTGCAGAGACAGCCCAGCATCCCTCCAGCTGGGGAGCCCCAAGTGCTTGCCTGCACGGTGTCACCACTTGCACGAGGAAGGTAACCTGTCCCCTTGGCCCCCAAGGAGATGGCATGATGGGGAACACATCCCTGCAGCCAGCCAGGTGTCAGAACAGGCTGGAAGCATCACACCCCCAACAGGTACAAATGTTCACCTAGGTTTATCCCCAGTTTCTGCCCTACTTGTTGGCACTGCTCATGCATGTTCCATGTTCCTCCAGCCCTACAAATGACCTACAGCCCTTTTGAGGCCATCCCTGGTGCCAGCTGGGGCAGGGTTAGTGTTCACCAACCACCACAAAACTCCATCTGCCCTGCCAGAGCTGAAGCTTCAGCATGGTGATGCTCCACATACAAAGCAGATGTGTTGCACCACATTATCTGATGTTACAGTGCCACAAAAAACCTCTGAGATGCAGAAAGGCAGACAGTGAGAGTTCATCAGAGCTGGGAGCGCAACTGCGGTTTTGTTCTTAAGCATCACAAAGAACATTACGTTCAAATGTTTAAATTAGCAGTAAAACAAAGCATTTAAGACCAAGTTTGCCTTTCACTATCCCTGCTGCAGCTGATTTGTGTTCATACAAATGAAGGGATGTCTTGGCCTCTAACACATATATGAACTTTTAAAAATAGACTTTTCTTTTTACCCTTTTTTCTCTTCCTCCCCTCCCCTCCCCTCCCCTCCCCTCCCCTCCCCTCCCCTCCCCTCCCCTCCCCTCCTCTCCTCTCCTCTCCTCTCCTCTCCTCTCCTCTCCTCTCCTCTCCTCTCCTCTCCTCTCCTCTCCTCTCCCTCTCCCTCTCCCTCTCCCTCTCCCTCTCCCTCTCCCTGTTGGCTGGAAGAGGATGTGCAAACCTTTCCCCTCTTTCTCCTGGAAATGCTTTGAATTGATGAATAGTTTTGATGGGACAGAAGGGAAACAATGGTCAATTTTGTACGAAACCACAATGCCCGCAGAGGCTGTTTGCTTCCCAGCCAGGAGCCCTGACATCTGTGCCACAAGATGAGCTTCTGCTTCTTGCAGATTTTTCCCTCAAAAGGAGATGGGGAATTTTTCCACCTTTCGGTTCCTCTGTGGGGCAACTCATTCTGTGCCCTGCATCAGACTGGGAGTGACAGCTCTGACTTTTGCTCTTCTCTTGCATCAGTTATAGCTTAAAGAAACAAAAAATTGAAAGAAGGAGGGAAAAGTCTTCAGATCAATTTATGGAAGTCTGCTCAGTGACAGATGCCTGCCTTACAAAAAGCTGCTTCCAGGGGAAAGGATGTGCAAAGTCATGTTCATCTGGTGACTGAACCTATGCATGATGTCCTCACTCATAAGCAGTTTGTGTTAATTGGCATCATGGGCTTGTGCAACTCTTCACTGCAGGCTTAGAGTGAGGATGATGAAGGAAAAGGCTCCTCTGTGGATTTCTTCAAGGGATCAGTGGCTGTCCCCACAGTGTGAGCTTCTCAGGGGCTTTCTGGTTTGACTGCAAACCACCCTGAACAACTGAGCACTTGGAAAAGGAGAAGGAGGAAGAGGGGACAAGAGAAGGATGAGGAGGAGGAGGAGCAGAAGGGGAATGGTTCAACCGAGTCTTGCAGTGTTTCAGAGCAGTGCAAGGCTGGTGGCAAAGCCCTGATGAGAGCCTCCACAGCCCCAGCTGGCATGCTCCTTCCCACAGGCACAAACTGAGGCTCTCCTGCAGCTGCTGGGCCAAGCACTCACGCTTATTGAGAAGAGCTGGCCTGACTGATGCAACTTTAGGAAGCTGAGCACAGGGTGCTTTGCTGAACAGCCAATCTCAGTACCTGCCAGCCCTCTTCTGAGCCCCCTCTTTTTTGCTGAAGCAGATGCACCCCTTTCTGCTAAATACTGGCCTTCTAATGGTCATCTGAACTCCAAGCACTGCCTGCTTGTGTCCTTGCCTCAGACAAGAAAACAAAACTCCAGCAGGACCACAGCAGAGTGCCTGTCAAATAAGAACTCTTTCAGCTCTAGTGAAAAAGCTAGAGTTTTCATACTTTCATACTTTTAGGAACAACTCCCACTCTTGACTGGAGTGCAGAGGGCTGCTTTCTATGCCACTGTATACTGTGAGCGCACCAAGAATTTCCTGAGGTTAAACTCATCTGCAACAGCTGAGGATATGATCTGTGTATAAGGAAATAAGACAGACTGGGGAGAAACACAGCCAAGCAGATTCTCCCTTGCCTTACTGCTTGTTCAGCTTGATGGGAGTGGAAAACAGTATCTTCCTGAGCAACTCAAACTCATTCAACCT